AATTAAAAGGAAAAAACTTTCATTATACCTGAACAGCAGAGTTTAAACTCAAGTCCAGGTCCTGTTAATACCAAGTCAGTACTCTCTGTCAAGTCTGATGGTAAAGACAGACTCCTTTGTATCCAATAACTATGTGACTTAGACAACTGGCAAAGGCCTTTGGCTCCTTTCTGGTGTTGACTTTCCCCAGATGTGAAATAGAAGGAGGAAGAGTTCCAATTATTAAGTCTGAAACCATGAAGGCTCTGAGATTTATTCTACTTACAAACTAACACATTATCCTGCTAGTTTTAGGTGTATGTACATACAACAGGTGCCAAAAAATGTATTAAAATTGTAATGCACCAGTCACATTTCACTTCTGCAATTATAAGAGATACAAAATACAAGATACAAGATAACGCATTTTATGGATATATACACAGTATTGCATACTACAAATTTAATAGTTTATTTCCTTTCTTCAAATGTGCGTATGTATATTTGTGTGTGTGTGTGTGTGTGTTTTCTTTGGTACCCTCTGAACATACATGAACACACACCCCAGATGTCTAAATCAGAGAACAGAATGTTTGTTTCTCACACACACACAAAAAAGAAACAGCCAAAAGCGCACCTCGAAATCATTCCCATGCCTTAATTACCCAAAGGGCAACAAGATGAAAGCCACATGTTCACCTGTACATGCAGCAGAGTCTGCACCACAGAGAACCCTGAAATTATGAGACTCGGAGCTCATATACGATGGCTTGCATATCTCGCCCTCCTTCCCCCCAGAGGGAGAAGTTGGCTATGGAATGTAAGCCCTTCCTGGGAAAGGGCTTTTCCCAATGTAAGAAAATGGTTCTGGGGAAAGAGGAAGGCAGCTCTGTATTTATAGTATAGCTTGTCTGTTTCCTTTGCTCAGAGTGTTCAGACTGTGTAGAAACTCTGAGAAATCTAGGGAATGATCCCAACAATGATCCCTGCAAGGTACTGTAATTGTCCCTCTTAGCATCTCCACCCTCTGTTGTTTGTCTCAGGCCTTCTCCAGAAAATGAGGTCAATCCCCTCCCCGATGTCCTGTGGGTCACAGATTTAATTCCAACCAATTGGAGAATTCCATTGAGTTATTGATCTTTTCTGTGTCTTCTATTCCCAAACCAGGATGGAAGCCATACTTTTTTAGCTTCCTCCTCCCAGTAGGCCTGGTGCCCCATGACACACAGAGGCAGTACACAGTAAATCTTCATAGGTGCTTCCCTATGCCTTGTGCCTCCCACTCAGCCACCCCCAAAGAACAGCCAACACTTAACCACTTCTACCTCAGTAGGAGAGCTATAAATAAGCAGGCACCAAGTCCTGACAACTTCTCACTCCTAAACTGCCTCACCTTCCAACCACCCTAGTGTAGACGCTCATTATCTCATGCCTGGACACCTCTGTGTCCCTCAGAGCTTTCAAAATGTGAACCTGCTTATAGCAGGAGCAACATGTGGAGAAATATTAGAACAGTTTCCAAAGATTTCTACTTTGATCAAATCTCTCGAGTGGTTCCAAAGCAGAGGCAGGTTTAGGAACCACAGGAACAGGTCAATTCTCTGTTAGTTCACTGACAACACTACTCACATGGAGAGAGTTGTGGTCACAGTCTAAAGACCTCAAAATTACAGGCCATCGACCTACAGAAACCTGATTTTGCCCTAAAGGATAAAGGTCAAACACCTTTACCAGCATTTCAGTCATTTCATAAAAAATCCTGTCCAGGGAGGCACCTATGGCTCAGTGGGTAGGGCACCAGCCCCATATACTAAAGGGTGGCGGGTTCAAACCCAGCCCCAGCCGAACTGCAACAAGAAAATAGCTGGGCATTGTGGCAGGCACCTGTTGTCCCAACTACTCGGGAGGCTGAGGCAAGAGAATCACCTAAGCCCAGAGTTGGAGTTTGCTGTGAGCTGTGTGATGCCATATACTCTACCAAGGGCAATAAAGTAAAACTCTGTCTCTACAAAAAAAAAAAAGAAAAAGAAAAAATCCTCTTCCAACCAAATTTTTCTTTGAACCTTCTGTAAGCTTTCTGCACTACTAGGCTTTCACCCATGTCATTATCTTCTCTGTCTCCTGCTCACTATCTCAGGAAGCCCTCCCTGACTTTCCCACCCCCGCCATGTATCAGGAATATCCATGGAGCACTTAGCATGATCTACCTTGTGTTGGTATCTACCTGATACAAAATTATTTGGTCCAAACAGAAAAGAAGAGACTCCTACAGAAAACATTTTTGGACTGAGGAAATATATATTTCCCACAGCCAAGATTCCTTATTTCCAAAATATAGGGTTAGACTAAATGGGAAGCCTGAAACCCCTGATCTAATCATCCTCACCCTTCACTGTTACACAGTACACATGCATACACAAATGTGTGCATATACATAAATACATACACACATGTATATACACATGTGTACATATACATGCATATACACATACACAAATGTGTGCATATACATGCATACACACATGTATACACATACACGCAGATGTGTGCATACACACACACATTGTACAGAGTAGGGCCTGTGGAAACCAGGGGTAACTATATGCTGGAACAAGAAAAAGCCAGGGTCTCACCTTGTAAATGAAGCTGCTGACATCATCATAGCCAACCCACTCCTTCCCCTTGTTGGCATATGGGACACGCTGATAATCAATCCAGTGTTTCTCAGCTTCC